ACACGAGTTTCGCTAGGTTTCAAGGTTATCTTATAATGAAAGCTGTCTCTAATTGGATTCCACAATATACCTAATAGTTTTGACTCTGTTTCCTTACTAATATTTACCGCTTCGTTCTTCACGTCAGTGTCTTCTCCTAAGGTTACTAAGTTAGAACTCCATTTGTGTAACTCGAAGCCCCCCTTTGCTAATAACTCCGTTAACTCTTCCTTTAATGTTATAACCTCGTGTTCGGTATTCGCGCCCGTCAACAGGTCGTCTATGTAAAACTCTCTACCCACTACTTCTGTTGCTTTCGGATAACTTGTTCTTTCCACTTCAGCTAATTGCTGTAAGCATCTAGTTGCTAAGAATGAGGCTGGCTTTGTGCCATACGTTACCGTGAGCAATTCGAACTCTTCTATTTCTGCTTCTGGGTTTTCTCGCCAAATGATGCTCTGTAAGGAGGTTTGACTTTCGTGTACTAATATTTGTCTATACATTTTGGCGATATCTGCACAAAACATATTTGTAACATCGAAATCTTAGAATTAATGCGAACAAGTCTCCTTGAATAACCGGACCTTTATACAAAGCATCGTTCAGTGACTTGCCCTTTGCGTATTGACTAGATGCGTCAAATACTACCCTAGTTTTTGTCGTAGCGCTACTTTCCTTTATTACGGCGTGGTGCGGCAGAAAAACCCTCGTCTTATCTTTATTTTGTTCACTCACTCGTCTCATATGTCCTAAACTTAGATAATCTTGCATGAATTTGACATACTCATTTCTGAACTCTGGATTCTTAGCAAACTTTCTTTCCAGTGCTAAAAACCTTTTCATCGCTATTTCTCTGGAACCTTGTAACATGTTTAGCACGTCTTTTTTAACCGGTAACTCGACCATGAATCTACCATTTGATTGACTATGACTCTCTTTAAAATGCCTTTCGCAATATTCCTCCTCCGGGTCTATGTTCTTTGTTTCCTGATAGGCCTCCACCTCCCAAAACTTACGCATCGTACTGTTTAATTCTTCCATAACGCTCAGATTGCAACTCGTTTGTGTTATTCTTTTCGACTTAGAGCCACCAATCGATCCGGATATTAACCAACCTAACAGAGATTTTTGTAGTATGGTTTTTTGCTCTCCTATTTTTATCTGTCCTACGCAGATCAATTCCCAAAATTTCTCCGCGCCTATTAACAAATCAATTTTACCTGGTATGTTAAACTGAGGATCTGCTAACTTAATGTTTCTAGACAATTCTAAGCTAACTGTATTTACTACGACCGTTGGTAAGTCTTGCGTAATTTTCGGAAGGACTATGCATTGCAATTCCATCCCAAAAGTTCCGAAGCGAGAAGTTATCCTTAACTTAACTGATTTCATAGCATGTGATACGTGTCCGTCTATCCCTTTAATCTCGATTTTTTCTTTAACCGTCTTTAAGTTTAATTTCTTAACAAACTCTTCAGTAACAAAATTTGATTGGGACCCGTTGTCCAATAGGGCTCTTCCTTCAATCAGGCTATCTTTATCGTCTTTTACCGTAACTAACGCTGTAGACAGCAGTACTTGATTAGCTTCTAAAATTTCTTTCGCTTGAGCGTGCGTGCATACCGTTTTATTTTGATTAACTTCTGGCGTTACGTTTTCTTCCCCTTTCTTTTCCTTTCCAGGCTCGCGATCTTCGTGTAACAAAGTACTGTGTTTTTTAGAGCATTTTCTACACCCACTAGCTAAACATTCCCTTGCCACATGTTTCCCCTTTAAGCAATTTAAACATAGTCTTAAGGATTTTACTTTGTCTAAACGCTCCGCGACTGATAGCTCCTTGAAGGCTTTGCACTGATAGATTTGATGATCACCCTTACATTGCATACACTTGATACCTGTTATCGCCGCGTGAGCTGTCGTTACCTTTCCCGGATACGTTGGTCGTTGGCTATTACTGAACGGCATGGATAAGCTCCTCCTAGCTACCGCTTCCAGCATTTGACATCTTCACGTAAGGAATTCTGTTAATTCGTTAAACGTAGGCAATTGTTGCGTTTCCACGCTAGCTTCCCATTCCTTGATCGTTATAAAATCTAATTTGCTAGTTATTACGTACACTAACAGATCGTCCCATTGTGCGGTGGGCCGCTTCAATGCCGTTAAGAGGATCCCCCAAGGCCGAGGCCTTTGATGGTGTGCGCCATCTAAACATGAAACGCAGCATATACATGAGCACACGGACACACTACTACGATACATCACACCCAGGCATAAACACGAAAGTTTAATTCTAGCTATACTCTTATTTTAAACATCTAATCCCAATTTAGAGGGTTTCACAGTAATTCTACATGTCTTCGAATCCGGGGAAACTCAGTTTCATGTGAGTACAAGTTGTAGAACTTTTATACGAAGCACAAGTATGACGGAGTTGACAGTTCGTCTACACGGTTATATGTGATCGATATATATGAATTTTGTAATTTTTACTCATTTTTGGTATAAAATTGGAGTTTCCCGGGATCATCAATGCATATACTGTAATTGTACGCAAGCATTTTTGATTCCATGAATTTAATACGACGATAGGTTATAACTACGAATGTCGGTAAAACAGACATGCTACGGGATCCTCTTAAAGCTCTGGTATGCTTCAAAATTCCGTCCAAAATATTTCTCAAAGCTACACTATTTTCCCGTCTCAACGTGGGTAACTCAAAAATTGCCTTGATGTGATTCTGAACCGCGAGACGTTCATTATCGTATCTTTCCTTTAATCTGAGCCAAGCGTCCTTGTAATGTACCTCAGGAATTTCTAACGACGCTATTGTTTCAGCCGCCTCGCCCTTTACCGCCGATTTCAAATAATGAAATTTTTGAATGTCACTTAGTGACTTATTCGAGTGTATTAGCGAATTAAAAGTGTTGTAAAACGGATGCCAATCCTCGTATGATCCACTAAAAGTAGGCAGATCAATTTTTGGTAATCTAATGTGACTTTCGTTTGGTTGTACTCTAACAGTTTCTGTAACTTCGGCTGCTTGGCTTAGATTTTCAGTAGCTGGCTCTGTTGTAACAGAGTTTTTGATAAACCTTTCTCCTACTAACCTCAACTGAACGTACCTTTCGTCATAGCTATTTAATTCGTCGTCAATCTGTTGCTCTGTTACCTCTTTATCATAAATCGCTAACTCTGTCAAGCTTTCTTCTAACGCTTTCCAAACATCTTCCATTTTACCTAGCCGTATTCTCATTTCTTCGCTACTAACCGTCTCTGTTTCTGCTGCTAATATAAAATTTTCCACTCGTGTGAAACCGGCCTTTGCTATTCTCTTCTTCTTTTTGATTTGCTTTAGATAGTCTTTTTCCGCGCTTTCCGCCATTTTGCTCTGTCTTCGTTCGAACCTGTAACCTTTGTACTAGTCTTACATATACGAACTGACTTAGACCTGTAACCGTAAATCCTTATACCTACGAACTAACCTAAAATATGACCTCGGCGCCCTTATATGTATATACGCGTTGACTTGTGATTATAAATGCGATCGCTTTACGGATGTAACCTCTTATTACTAAACTTGTACATAACTTTGGCCTTTAATGTTCTTAACACTTCTGCGTGGCCTCGTCTGCGTCGGTTGTGGACCCGTCCGCTTGTGCTGAGTAATGGCCTCTCCCGCGTCTGCTGTAGGTTCGTCCGCGGGGCCTGAATGATGGACTCGTCCGGGCCCGTTGTAGCCTCGTCCGCGTGGT